CAGGAATCAAAATATTTGTTGTAAAGGTTAAAATAACTGTTCCTACCTCTACTTTTGTTCGATAAAGGATGAGACGCTTAAGACCGCACACTTTGGCAATGTGGTTGAAAGCCTGAGGTGGCAGCTTATCACAAGAGGAGAGATTTAGTTCCTGAAGGTTTGGACACATATCAGCAATGACCTCCAAGCAAGTCTCATTGAGGAAATGGCCACAAGCCAACTCAAGGCGCATTAGTTCAGAGCCACAAACTTTCAGGAACCTGTAAAAAGCATGTATTATGTGAATTAACAGCAAGGAAAATACAGTTTTCTATGGAAATTTTGGAACACTGTCAAAAATAAATTGATACAATTGAACAATTTTTTTAGCAAGGAAATCATACAACCTGCATCACTTACATACTGTTAAATTAAACTCTAAACTACCAATATGCATGGTTAGGCTAAAATAAGTTGATTGTAACAGACCTGAGGAAATCTATTAAATGGGAAAAAACCCTAAAAAAACCCATGGACTAAGGCAGAGATCAACCATCCAAAATTAGGATATTCTAAAAGTTGTATTTACTCCATCAAAATTAACTCAACAATGTTGCATATCCTGAATACTTTTTGGTGTTTTCTAATGAAGTCATAGCATAAGTTTATATTTAACAAAGGCAAGAGGAGCAGAAAATGCTACATTGTACTGTACTGTGAAAGTGGCTAAGTTAATTTTACTAGAGCAGCTTATCAACTCTACTGAAAGGGTTTGGGGAAAAATAATGTTTGTTTAAATTACAAACATGTTTTTCTTACTACCAGCTCCGCAAACTAAGTTTAGGAAGTAAATGTTGATCTGTGTTTCTTACTTTTGACTTATCAGTTACTGTTGACCTCAATGCAACCACATATAGCAATGATTCTGTTTTGTCATAATTTTATAGACCACTGCAACTTCATTCTGATTTTGGCGCTGGCCTGCAACTCTCTGCCTGAAATTTCTCATAGTAAATCTCTGCCCATGAGAAAAATGTATATGGGTGAGGAAAAAAATCTGAAGTTAATTGGTGAAGACATTTGAAAGGTAGGGGATCTGAGAAAAACTAGTGTTTCATCACTGTCAGAAAAAAATGTTCTATTTCTTTTTGTCCACAATTAAGTCAAACAATGTAAAAATGTAAAGCTTATTTTACAATACTCTAATCCTAAAGAAGAACTAAACTACAAAAGTAGGTTGGTGTGAAAAGGTTTAAATTATCAGAGACTGAATAGTCAAATATCTAGAAATTGTGGGGTTTCTGCATACGTTACAACTTCTGTCAGAAGTCTGATAAACTTTATATGCTTTGTTCCATTTAATCTTTCTTTAAAAAAAAAAGTAGTAAGCTCACAGGTTTCTTTACAATGAAAAGAACTTCAAAATGTAAATCAATCACAAGGCTTACAAATCTGATACTGCATACAAATCATATATATTTTTAGTATTCTCTTGGTAGCAATTGTTTCTCCAACAGAAGAGACTCTAGTTCAGCCCACCCCATTGCATCCTCATGCCAGGGAGTGAGATTTCTAAGCAGTGTCTGGTCGCATTGCGCTTGTGCATTAGCCATCTCAAAGTGCTGCTTGTGTCCACTGCGCATGCCACGCGGCCCCCCTCCATTCCTTCTCTATTATGCAATTAATGATACAGACTCCAAAGCAGAAGGGAGGAGGGATGGTGGTGGAGCACCCACAGGAACACACATCTTGAAGAACAATCATAGAATCATAGGGCTGGAAGAGACCTCAGGAGATCATCAAGTCCAGTCCCCTGCCCAAAGCAGGACCAATCCCAACTAAATCAACCCAGCCAGGGCTTTGTCAGGACGAGACTGTGACGGTGCATTGGAGGTTTCCCATCTCCTGCACTCCCGTAATGGCACGGACAGACTCCACCAGCCAGTAGAATAGAGGGTCCCCCTTGAGATGGGGGAGCGTGGGCCCCTAAATCCCAGCCCCTTTCCCTAGGCTGTCTCCTCCATGCTCCCAGCCAGCAACTAAACTCTCTCTCTTCCAGCCCTGCCCCCCAGCCAGGGTAGCCTCTACCTTCCTTTGTTCTTCTCCATGTGGGGTGTCTGGCCATACTGGTTTGCATAGTGACTCATCCTGTTTTGCTGGGTCCTGGTACCCACGGCAGGCAGTGGGGGGTACCCCAGAGCCCGCAGCATAATGACTCATCCCCTGCCCTGCTGGGCCGTGCTGCAGCCAGCAGACAGTGGAGGTCACTCACAACCCAAACCTAGCAACCAGCAAGGTACCCACTCTACATCACAGAGACTTAAAAACCTCTAGGGATGGAGATTCTAATCACCTCACTAGGTAACCCATTCCAGTGCTTCACCACCCTCTTAGTGAAACAGTTTTTCCTAATATCCAACCTAGACCTCCCCCACTGTAACTTGAGACCATTGCTCTTTGTTCTGCCATCGTCAGATAACAAAGTTAGCAGCTGGGGGAACAAGATGAAATAATCAACTAGAATTACCCTGACTACAAGAAATATTGACATGGGAATGGACTGGGCCTTGAGGTATGGATGAGTATGGATTGTGAGAAGAAGGAAAATGTATATTTAGTCATGATCAAATTATTTTTCTTTATTTTGCTGATGAGTAAAACTTGTCTATGGAAAAGTCATGTGCCTCCCCCCCCCCATTCACTATACCCCAAGTTGTGCCCAGAGATATCATTTTTTCCTCTGTGTTTTAATCTGCTCTTTTCTTAGTTGCTCTGTTAGACCTAGCAACCAAGTATGCTTAATCAAGTATCTGCTCTGTTAGTCCTAGCAACCAAGTATGCTTTATCAAGTATATCTTTTTGCTTTGTTAATAAAATCACCTTTTTTAAGGTGATCATTTCATTCTTGTGACCTGGAAGGTAACAGGAGGACTGTGTGTGACAGCTGACCTCTTAGGCTAGTCAGGCACAGATATACAGTTTGTTTTGTGTGTTTTTTGTTTCTTTTTTCAAGCTCTCTGGAAAAAGGGCTTGGGGGCACCCCCTGGGAAGAAATTTAAGGGTTTCTTTCTGGTTTTCAGGATTTTTTTTAATGTGCTTGATGGTGGCAGCCTATCACCCAGAGCCAGGAATCTGTGACTCTGGGATATTTTTTGTAAGCAGAGCCTATAGAGGCAAGGTATTTTAAGGTCTCTCATGGGCCCCTCTACCTTCTGCACTTGGAGTGCCAGAGTGGGGAACGGCCTGGCAGGCCTATTGCACAATGTGAATGGACCAAGAGATGGCTACAGTGGCTTAAAACTACAAAGTCACTGCAAAACCCAGAAAATTGGTCACATAGGCCTAACTGCGTGTAACCCCAAGAAATCCAAACCACATTGCCTTCATCCCTAACTGTCCATTTATTTGCCTGTCAATATATATATTTGGATAATATCTTGTGTTGTGAGACCTAAATATTTAATACAATCAAAGACCTATGGACACTGTAAACTAGGGTTAGTAGTTTGTTTTCTTTCTCAATGAGTGTTTTCCCATAGAAATGGCATGAATTGTCTGATATAAGAAGGAACAAGAACATTAAGATAGACACCTTAATATGACAAAACTATGAATTAAAATAAACTGATTAAAAAGGGGAAATTGACATAATGTCCTATAAGAATGTGACTGAACAAATTTGTTCCACACTAATGCCATCTATTGGATACTAATGGAAGCAGCAAAAAATCTGAGCACTCAGCTGACAAGTCCAACAGAAATTGGAATGTTGCGCCTTCAAATCCAGATATAGAAAATGAAGGTCACCATCCCTGTGGGATCCTAGCGTTGACTGAACCTATAAAGAAATTGCAAAATCAGAAGTACAACTGATGCCCAGGCAAGCCATGTGGAAAGGATTATTTCACTATCACAGGGTTAACAAGATAAGAAGTTATGAGATTTCATTTTAAATATTATATTCCTCCTTCTGTATCAGAGGCAGCAGTGCAGGGTGTCATGTGGGAGCTGGTCTGCAAGGAGAGCCAGTTTAAAAAACAGCTCCCCTCGTGGGCCAGCTCCTGTTGCCCCATGCTATTGCCTCTGATACAGAGGAATCAGTGTGGGGTGGCAGCAGCCCCTGTCCGGGAGTGGGGGGCTGTCCTGTACCTGGTGCAAGATGAGACTGAGCCAGGTTGCCTGCCTGCCCAGCTCCTAATACACTTTAAATGCAGATCCGCAGCAGGGGTAGGTCCCGGACCCAGTGCAAGCAGGAACTGAGCCAGGCTGCTGGCCAGCCTGCTAAAAAATTTACTGGCAGGGTGGAGGAATGCATGTGGTCTATAGCATTAACTAATAAGCTTTTGCTAATTGCTTCATTGACTATACTATTACATCCCTAGATTGTTCTTTGTTTTCCCCAACTGAATGTAATCAGGTCATGATCTTCAGTTCCCAAGCAGCCATCAACTTCCAGTCCAATGACTAATCCATCTTTATCTGTTATGAGATCCAAAATAGTGTTACTTCACATTGGGCACACTATCTTCTGTTAGAAAATCATCATCTATACCTTTTAGAATCTTAATAATGTTCTACTACTAGTTTCATACGTCATCTACCCCATGTCTGCTATTTAGTTTAGAAAGAACTCTTCTTGTTCTCTGGTTTGATTCAGTGATTCATACCTCCCACCAGTACCCTTTCCTGAGCTTTGTTAAATAGCACATTGATCCCTATGCATTCAAAAGCCTGTAGTTATAAGTAACTTATAACTAAGGGTGCATCTACACAGCAGGGCTTACTTGAAATAAGCTATATGCAAACTGAGCTACGTCAATTGCATAGCTTATTTCAAAATAGCTTATTTTGAAATTGAGAGCGTTTACCCAGCACTCATCCTCCAACTTCCCTTACTCCTCATACAATGAGAGTTACAGGAGTCAGAGTAAGAAGTCCTCTAGCTTGACATTATTTTGAAATAACTGCCTGTTGTGCAGACACATATTAAGTTATTTCAAAACATCATTAGTTATTTTGAAATAATGTTGCTGTGTAGACGAACCCTAAGTCACAGGTAATGGTGTCTTATACAGAGAGCCACCCTGAGCACATCCAAATTTTCCTTCCTAAGCAAGTTATAACCAGATATTAACATTCCAACTTTCAAAACTATTACATCAGTTCCGTAAGTATTGTATCACATTTGTTCCCATCAATGAGAAATTCCAATTCCTCTTGCTTTTTACAGATTCATAGAAATGGTTCATATGTGCTTTAAAATATCTCTCTTCACATTCTT